AGGGAGCCCGATGCAGGACTCGATCCCGGGACTCCAGGATCATGACCTGAGCCGAAGGCAGTCGCTTAACCAACTGAGCCACCCAGGCGCCCCTTTCTTTGTTTTTTTCTACTCAGTTGATTATCTGGGTGATAGAAGTGGCTTCAACCACTTTCTGGAGCTCCAGACTCCTATTTAGCTGTTCAACGGGGGCTGTCCTCAGACCCCTTCCATACTGCCTAAGATTGAGTTCAGCATCTCTCCCCAAAACCTGGGGGTTACGCTGGGGGGGCCACTAGCAAAATGTGGCTACTTCATTGTAAATTAATTACAGTTAAATGGAAGTACAAACCCAGTTCCTCGGCCACACAGCTCGCCACATTTCAAGTGCATAGTGGCCAGCGTGTGGCTGGTCAGTGGCCGCCGTGTTAGATGGCACGGACCATTCCCAGCACCACAGAAGTTCTGTTGGACGGAGTTGCTGTAGAGTTTAGGCTTAGACTCGTTCCTTTCTCGGTGATTGCACACGTGCGTCCAGTCACGGTGACGTGTGAGTGCCATGTTCTTGTGCTCTGTTTTGCCAAAACTGAATTGTCCAAAACGTAAGCCTGTTAATCTCCTACTTAGATATCTGCCAGTGCATCCCCTTTGCTTTCAGGAAAAAATTCACACTCCGTAGTTGATCAGTTTGTTGTGTATCCTTCACTTACCAAGTGTGTGGTTACCTCTCTGCCCCAGCCGTGCTTGCGCTGGCTTTCTGCCTCCCCCTCTCGCCGCTGCTGGGCTCTGTCCAAAACGCATCTTCCCCCCTCGTCTGACCTTTCTTGGGTCGGTTGTCTGCTGGACTCACGCTGTGGTCACCGTGTGTCAGAGGCCTCACGGAGTCACCGACATCTCACCTGTAATTCCCAACCTGCAGGGATGCTTTCACTGTATGGCAGGCACTTCCGTTAATGCTGATGTCAGGAGTGGGGCTTAGAGTGCGGGCGCTACACGGACGTGTTCTTGGCACTCAGCTCTTCTGCTGCACGGACTTCTAAAACCTTGGAAATGGAATTTTAAAAGATAGTGTTTTAGGGATCACAGAGGTTGCTATTATAATTTGCCAGTGGTTTTCTTGAAAATACATCCAATCACAAGGCCTCACAGATCAGTTTTATTGCAACAAAACCTAATAGAATGAGCCAACTTAATTGTATTTTATGTTTTGAATCGTGGTTTAGATAATCCTGTGCCGGGCAGCGCGTGGCTGTTGTCCTGTTTTCTGGGCGCTGTCACGTGCATGTGGTAATGGACGTTCTTTAGCTCTGGTTCACAAGGTCATGTCTATAATAATTTGAGGTAGTGTGAGTATGCACAGGACTTCAGTGGGGAAAAATACGAATTTGTGTTTTTTTATTGCAGATGTATACTGCTCATGTTTTTGTAAACAATTTTTATAATTTCTTTTGAAACTATTGAGCCTGGATACTTACATAGAGAAATTTACTTTTTGCCTGTAATTTCATGCTTGCTTTTATTATCAATGATATTTTCAGTACAATCAATACATTTAATTTGCTTTTGATTCATGTTAGAATATTCTGTGATAGAGGCCAAGTAAGATTTGTGAGCTTTTAAACATTTCAGTGTATAATGATTTTATTATTAAATCT